ATTGGATTCCGGCATTATCGAAGACGTTACGGACCAAGAAGAGCAACATCGCTCCTACTACATGCCAATCCAAACGGTCGTCAAGCCAACAAGTACGACTACAAAAATACGTCTTGTTTTCGACGCATCAAGCAAAATGCGTCAAGGCGGAAGTAGTCTGAATGAAGCTATACTTCGCGGACCAATCTATCTACCAGATCTGTCAGGTATACTTTTGCGTTTTCGAACGGCTAAGATCGTGATCATCGGAGACATCGAAAAGGCTTTCCTGCAAATAGGCCTGCACACAATAGATCGGGATTCAACTCGATTTCTATGGCTCAAAAATCCACACCAAGCGCCGTCCCCGAAGAACCTGAGAATTTTTCGATTCACGAGAATTCCCTTTGGCGTGATAGCGTCGCCATTCCTACTGGCAGCAACGATACGATATCACCTCGAGAGGAACGCCACGTTACCAATTACGAGAGAATTGATCGACAACACATATGTGGACAACATCATGCTGACAGCAGATACAACAAACGAAGCAATCCAATCCTGCGATGCAGCAAAGAAATTGTTTGCAGAAGCAGCTATGAATCTTCGCGAGTTCAACTCCAACGACGAAGACGTTCGCAATCATTGGGAATCAAGTGCACGGCAGCAAACGTTGGTAAGTAAAGTCTTGGGCATTCCATGGGACGTCCACTCTGATAAAATCAAATTCACTTTCAAGAAATATGTTGAAACGTTAACAACAAAACGTTCAATTCTATCTTGGATCGCAAGTGTGTTTGACCCATTGGGATATCTCACACCCGCAACTTTGCCAATCAAAATCTTCATCCAGTCTCTATGGGAATCCAAATATAAATGGGACGAACCGTTGAACGAAAACGATCTAAACAAATTTCATTCGCTGATGGAAGGGTGGCGAGACCAACCAATTGAAATGGCTCGAATGACATGTCGACCGAAAACCGTCCACTGTTTTGTTGACGCATCCAAATTCGCCTACGCCGCAGTTGTATATGTCAAATCGGATACGAACTGCAACCTTATCATGGCCAAAAGCCGTCTGTCACCAATTAAAGGACTGACGATCCCACGTCTAGAACTGCTCGCAATTTTGATTGGAACCCGGCTTCTCGATCACGTCTGTACTCAACTTCAACTGGATATCCCACGTATTCTATGGTCTGATAGTCAATGCGCACTTTCTTGGGTAATGCTCAACAATGAAGACCAACGTTTCGTCAGAAACCAAGTAGAAAAGATCAGGGTGAGCAAGAATATCGAATTTCGGTACGTACCTGGTAATCTAAATCCAGCCGATCTAGCCACAAGGGGTGTTCGACCCGAAGAGCTAATCATGTGCAAGGAATGGTTCTGCGGACCGAATTTTCTATGCCGACCCGAGTCGCAGTGGCCGGAAGCGTTTCATCCAAAAGCAGCAGCCAACGAAGCCGAACAAACGGTATGTCTCACAACCCACACAAGCGAAAACTCGTCCAATTTCAACCCCGAACGCTTCAGCAACTACAATAGACTTCTACGGTCGACAGCTATTGTGCTCCGATTCGTAGCCAAGGTGCGAAAAACTTCATCCACCGCTAAATGGACAACAATTAGCCTGACCGGACCTCTTACCCCGCCGGATTTGGCGATTGCAGAATTCTATCTTGTGAAGGAATCTCAGCAACAAATTGAAGAAGAGGAAATAATATCACTTGACATGTTCCAAGACGAAGGCATCTATCGATGTGGCGGACGAATAGCATCCACCCGTCTTTCGAAAGATTCCGCTTATCCTATATTCCTTCCAAAAGGCAGTGCGCTTGCTCGACTTATCATTCTGGATACTCATAAACGACTTGCTCACGCGGGCACCGCTCATACCTTAGCCACCATTCGCAAACGATTCTGGATTCCTCAGGGAAGAGCTACAGTTCAACTTACTATTCAGAGGCATTGCATGGCATGCAAACGTTGGAATGCAAAGCCACTCAAACTACCATCCTTCCCAGAACTGCCAGTTGAACGTACAACTCCGATCAATCCATTCACGAATGTTGGGCTGGATTACTTTGGTCCCATCCGTATCAAAACGACGAATACAAATGAAACGGTTCAGAAACGATGGGTGGCCCTATTCACGTGTCTGTGGACTCGTGCTGTACACTTGGAAGTCGTGAACGATTGTTCAACGGAGGCTTTCAATCTATGCTTCCGGAGATTCGTCGCTCGGTGGGGACAGCCAAAGTCAATAATATCCGACAACGCCCCAACATTTATCCTCGCCGCCAAAACGGCAAGCCAAATTTTCAACCGCATACAATGGAAGCACATAACCGAATTAGCTCCATGGCAAGGAGGTGTCTACGAAAGAATGGTTCAAACCACCAAAAGGGCTCTCAAGAGAATGATTGGGCGAGCATTTATTGATGATGAGCACCTTAAGACTCTGATGAGTGAATGNAATTGGGAGAAGTGGTAATCATTCATGAAGAAACAAAGCCTCGTTCCTTATGGAAACTAGGCGTGATCAGCAAACTCATCAGAGGAAGAGATGGCAATATCCGTTCGGCAGAGCTCAACTGCGGATCGAACAAAAGTCTATCGCGCCCGTTAAATCTTCTCTACCCGCTGGAAATCGACCAAGAAGATGTTATTGTTGCCAGAATGAGAGCTGCCCAAGAACGATCTTCGACAGACGACAAAAGTCAAAAGCAGCTGAACGGCGAGTTGAACGAATACAAAGGGCCTCTGACTCGATCAAGAGCGAGAGCACTCGAACTCAACCCCACAGTGCTTACATGCCTCATGCTATTCTCCCTGATTCTGTCAACAAATGCAGCTACACCAGCAACGGCATGTGGAGAACCGAAACAAGGTATATCGGTGCGTTTTCCACTTCTGCGAGATTGTCACGTCATGGAACGACATCAGAGAAGCGTGTGGGCGAAAGCATCCATCTACACGAGAAAGTATGTTACAACTACAGCCTTCTCATGCACCAACCACTCACGAACAATATGTACAAATTCATTTCTCCACTGGACATTGAAGGTAACTTCCGATTTCGTAAACGTTTCTGGTATCGCACCTGAACTGTGCTCCCAACTGGCTGAAACCAAAGAATTCGATGGGCGTGCACTGATTCAACGTTCAAAAGATCGATGGGAAACAGACTTTCCCGAATCCTTTTCCTTCGGATTTCTCGGAACGCGGTGCAAAACAACGTCCAACTACATCATTCAATTCGGTTCGGTAGCAATCTATGCTGACGACAGATTAATCAAAACCAATCTTAATTCATCCGAATGCAAATCAGCGAACGGCGTATGTATTACCGACCACACTCTAATCTGGAATGCGACCGACATCAAGTCGCAGTGCCACTATGAACTCATAGGAACATACGACACGTATAGCACAGAACATTTCGTCAGCGTGGAAGAATTGGAAGCGTCCTTCAGGTTTCGCCATTACATCAGATCTATCCCTGAATGTAATCTGAAGCGCGCATACTCAATGGAAAACGACTTTCTCGTTGTGTTCCAAAACCGTAATATACGTGGAGAATTTCAAAAATGGATCAAAGCCAACCCGATACAAGTCAGGCGCATGAACGAAGAACACGACATATCGGTACCACAAAAACTACCGCAGTACGTTGAAGACAAACTCGTCAAGAAAGAAGCACACTCCGTTTTGGGTCATTTCTGGGAATATCCTGAAACTCTTCACGATCCAGTAAATGCAAAACTGCAATACATCTACAATATCCTCAGAAATCAAATAAACCGAAAATTCCCTTCAATGGAGCGCTCAGTGTGCGAAACCAACAACGCCATCACGCTCGTCGCGAGAGCCAGTCCTCCAACTACCGCTGCAAGAATCTTATTGCAACGAATAGATGTCGTAGCTGTGAAAAAATCCGAAGACACGTTACTTGTGGCCGTATGTCACAATTTATCAGCTACGGAACAAAATGCTACGGCCTTATCAACAATTGAACCAGTAATCGCAGAGTACACCTTCAAGTCTAGTCCTCTGCCCGCATTGGAAAAACAACGAATTAACATGGCACTGTCACTCCTCGACTCCGAACTGGAACGATCGCAAGTAACCATCGGTTCGGGCCAATCCGAGCAGGATACAATCGACGCAATAAGAGATGAAGGCGAACGATTACTGTGGGAAGCAGAACGTCAAATTGGAAAGGCATCCGATGAAATACAACTCATCCTGGATGGAATTAGCAGGAACGCAATTGTAATCACGGCCTCCGTCATCACCATTCTATGCTTCATTGCAGGTACGATCATTTATTGTAGATACAAAGGACGCGTGAACACAAACAGCGATGTTCACATTCAAATACAAACAAACGGTGACGATGCGCGATGTGACCAACCTGTACTAGAACTCAAGCCCATGGAATCACAGCCACAAAGCAGTCATCGAAGCATATTCTCACCGCCCACCCCAATTGGAAAATCGTGCTCGTAATCCGCACCCAACTTTCGCGGTCGGGAGTGTTGCGAACTCGCAACTTCCTAATATTAATTATTGCTGATGCTAATTATTA